CCATCATGCCAATGTGTCGTAAATGACCAAGATGTCCTCCTTCGCACACTATCGAAACTTATCTGAGTGAATTAAGAAAGGTCTCTTTCCTCAACCGTTGGGCTAGTTCTTCCTTCGTAAGTTCAACTTTGGACTTTACATTCCGTGTTCTCCGTCAGACCCGCTTTGGTCGCCACCGCTCATTCCGCCATCTTAGCATCTTGCCGTTCTAACTAATGGGCCAAAAAATGCGCTCTACTGGAGCAATCCAAAATGGCCGCGAGTGGTCCCACCCACAAGAAAATTGTGAAAAAACGCATCTGCGCATGCGTCAGCCGGCGCAACTCCATTCATTTGAACGAGAGACTTCAAAAATTCACAGCAAGTAAACTAGAGTGGACCAAAAAAATCCACCCCCCTCAGCATTGACACACATGTGGAACGGAACTTTGGGCCAAGAGCCAACTTTTGGTCCATCCTGTAAAGAAGTTTTTGAGAGGTCTGCCAACGCTATATGTTAGCATTGGCTAATTCTACTTCTGGGTCCACCCCCATCGGCCCGGGGTGGTATTGCAAGCATGTCAGCGCATGTCATTTTGGCCACTTTTGAGCTGGGACCCTCCCCCACTGGTTCTGCACTGCCTCCTCAAGCTTCTCTCATAGACCTTTTTCATGCCACGCCCCTTCTCCGCCATCTTCCGCCTTCTCGGAGAAAGCAACTTCCGGTTTCGCGGTAAGTCAATGACAGGATCATACTTTTCAGAAACGAGTTGAAATATCTCAATATCTTCTGCTTTTTCAGAAACTTCCTTCGGGCTATGTAGGGAGCACTCCAGTACGGTCACATTAATTGGAATATTTCTCCCTAAAAGGTTTGTGTCTTAGTAAAATTGGTGGTTTGTCAAGCTAAAGGCTAAGTTAGCATCCAGTTACCTGCACGGCTGTTTCTTTATGAACACAATCTTTAGTTTTAAATAATAGTATTGCTCAATAAGTTCAAGACTAAAGGTGTAACTACATTAGTATTATGTGTGGTACATACGTTTACAAATTTTTTTTTTCATTTTTTTTTTACTAGAATGGCATCCAGAAAATCTTGCTGTGTGCCTCTTTGTTCAGCTAACAAGAGAACACATCCTTACATAAGTTTCCACGAGTTCCCCATGGATGTTTGTAGACGTGCCAAATGGATCTGGGCCATTCGGAGATATGAGGGTCCACTTTTTAAGGTGGAAAATGGACGCAGTGCTGTCTGCAGTTTACATTTTGGACCAGATGACCTCTACACATCCAAAGGAGGATTGAGGAAGGTCCAGAAGAATTCTGTGCCATCCAAATTTGTTTGGAATAAATGGGGTAAGGTGTGTGTCTGTGTGTGTGTGTGTGTGTGTGTCTGTGTCCTAATGGCAGCAAAAGGTATACTGAATAACTATTGTTTATCTCAAATAATTAGGTGACTTGGCCTAAATGTTTTTTCCACATAATCATCTGAACAGTATTGTAAACATAATGAAATTTATATTGTTGTTTGTAAAGGAAAAGAAGTAAAGGAAAGGCCAACGAGGCACCGATGTTTAGAGGTAATTGAAGGGGAGTGCGAAGATCTTTGTCCGGAAGAGCTTGAGAGAGAGATGGTGGCTGCCACACAAGGAACAGTAGCCAAGGCTGTTTCAGACCATGATTACACAAAGCATCCTTCTCCTGGTGAGTATTCATACGGCAACGTATGCACTTAAGAGCAAGTTTAAAAAGTAGTCACCTGGACTCTGGATTAATTGGTTTGAGAACAGGAAATTGTAGCAAGCTTAATCCTGTCCAAAGGGAGATGTAAACTTTGGAACAGCTGTCCAGATGACGAATTTTGATAGATGGATGACTATTTTGATCAACTGCTTGATGAATGGGGGATTATAACGCTTAATATGTTGTTATTCTTTTCTAGGACAAGTAGACAGGGCTGCAATGCAAATTAAGGACTTGGAGCAGAAGGTGTTATGTCTGGAGCGGAAACTACATGAACTAACATTTAAAGACGAGCTGCCTCTTGTATACAAATTTTGTGTAACAGATGAGGACTTTCGCTATTATTGTCGATTTTCTTCTATAGAGGTTTTTGAGATATTTTGGGAGTCAATTCAGCCTTCTGCATCCAATCTTGTTTATTGGAGTAAGGCACAGCAATGTGCAGTAGTTGAAAAACGGTCGGCACTAGATCATATACGGAATCGGGACGAAACCGGAAGTAACAATCCTACTTTCAAATTAATTTTAGACTAATTCGTCCTTAAATGGTGACTGGTTAAGTTTTAGGTGTTTAAGTAAGATGGTTAAGTTTAGGGTTAAGGCTGGGTTATTTTATGGGAATGGCTGGTTAAGTTTAGGCATGAATAGGTAGTTTGTTATTTTTACTTCCGCTTCCGTCCCGATTCCGTATATGATCTAGTGCTGACCGTTGAAAAACCAAGCCCTATGAGAAAGCTTCCGCTCATTGCATTGTCAAATAGCAAATCGACCAATCAGGATTGCCGGTGTTACGTGGGGTTTGCACTGCCTCCTCAAGCTTCTCTCATGCAGCAGCGAGAGGAATCCAAGATGGCGGACGTAAAGTCCGCGAATCTTTTTAAAAGAGTAAATACGATCGAATTAAGACACAGAGGTCACTTTTAATGCAATTTTAGGCGCGATGATGATGGTTCTATGTTGATATATGTGTGTTTTAAGAGTCAAATGTTCCTGTAAAGTTTGGTTGAAGCACTGGTTCAGTGTTCCTGTTTACACACTATGCAGCAGGGTTGCCAGGTTTGGTGGTTCCCGCATATTTTTTTCCAAGAGACTTGTAGGTATTAAATAAATAGAAAGACAATAAACACAATCATGATAGCCCAAGTTGATTATATTACGTTTTTAGCCAAAAAATCATTCTGAGTGTTTTTTTGTGTGTGGGTTTTCTCGCGGATTTTGGGTTGGAAAATATTGCTGGGATTTGGCGACCTATGGGAGCCGTGTGCTTCGATGTGAGTGGTTGAAAGCAGACTTCATTCAAGATAACGGACAAGTGGTCTATCCAATCACATACAAGGCTTTTTTTTACAAGGCCCTGCCTTCTGAAATCCAACCATTATGGCTCAGTACCAGACTCATGTGTGAAGTGCAGCGAACTACATGGGTCTGGCGAGAGTCAGGCTATGCCATTTCATCTTCTCACATAACTATGACGAGAGAACTATCCTACTGGAACACCATAGGCTTATCGCTGTTTGTTGTTAATCCATGTTTTAAAAAGCTTGTTAGCGCCTAGCCCCATCCAAGAAAGCGTGTCGAAGAGCTCTGAACCAATGTGAGGCCGAGGAACTTATTGAGCCATTGAAACGCTTCAAAATACTGACACAGTTGATACGCGAAACAAAGCAGTGGCGGTAGAGTCCAAGATGTTATCCTAAAAAGAAATGTTGCAAACCAAAAAAATAAAATTTGACACCTTTCATACCAAACCGAGTTTTAAGTCGGAAAAATTCAACTTTTTTTAGGAAGCCAGTTATTTCCATTGTTTCGGCAATGGAAGTCCTAGAGTTTGTTTTTTGATGCGCACGTAAGAAATTAAAATAGAATGAACGGAAGATACACAGACCATATAGACCTGTATTGTACTGTATATTGATTCTATTTTCTAATGAGACCTAATTTTAGAAACTCTTTGTTGAACTTAACACCTTTGCTTCATGTCTCAAAATGATAACTGCAAATAAAAAATGGTAGAACAACATATTTATATTTTCCTGTTTTCCATCATCACTCTTTGGATTGCTCTGCCTGTGTTAAGCACATCAGAACATTTTGGCAATAATTCAGCGTTTGTGGAAAGAAACCCAACCCTAATTTGATTTATTGTTGTCCCAAGGCTGCATTTTCAAACCAAACATCTGAACGCCATAAAATACACATTGCTTGCAAACATTATACCGCAAGAACAAAGCACCAATGGTTTTGATCAATTTGAAGACAAGAACTCTCACATGTTTCACTTCACGGCCGAGGGCAAGCATTGTATTGCCCTATAACTATTTTGTAATGAAGAATGCTGTGCAAATTCATTACATAATTATATGACTGTGATGAGGGCGTGAAAGCAGATGTTTTCAATGAAGTAAGTTAGTTTTCTTATTTTATTTTTTTTAACAAGGGCGCAACCCACAGAAAAGTTAAATATATGAGACGTAATACGGAGGAGGTGAAAAAGAGTAGTGGCAAACCAGGGATTAGGAGACCAATTTTAAACATACATACATACATACATTTTGGACTGCACCCCCGCTCCCTGCCTGGCAGCCTCTTCTGTCTTGCACCTTATAAATCCATGCCTGCACCGCACAGCCTTAGTCCTCGTTCTACAGCCTGAGTCCTGGATCTATAGCCTATCTGTCCATGGAAGCAAATCCCTCTCTCAATATGGGCCTCCTTTTAGCCACAGTGTTTACATTATAGTTGTTCCTAATGCAGTAGGGTTTACGAACAGTGATGATCTGGGACATTAATTGGACATTTATTAATATTTATTTACAGTGGTCATCCTGACCCCAATGGATCAATGGCTCCAATGTGTTTGTTACTATTGCATTTCAAAACGTGTTAAAACTTTTTGGTTCTTTTGTGTTGTTGTTCGTTAATCAACAACTTTGTAAAGTCCCTCGAGACGATCTTGTCTCGCTGTTGTGTTGCTATAGAATAAATACAATATAAAACTGAATTGAATTTTGGTAAAATTAAAAGTTGTGAGTTGTTTCTTTGGGGTTGTTTGCAGGTCATATAGGAAGATGGAAAAATATTTCAGAAATGTTGATTTTGGCTAAAAGTGCGATAGGATTTATTATATTTTTTTAGAGCTTAAAAGTCCAAAAGCATATCTTGATACAACAGTCTATGCTTGATACCTGATTGACTGTGAATTTGTTGAAACATTGAAAAAAAGACGCGGAACCTTGGTCATGCGCTCCCATGTTTCACACGGAGGACTATCGCTTCACATGCTAACAGCTGCTACAAATACACAGCCCTTCGACATGGCAGAGGTTTGTTTCTGGTGTACATATTCGCTCTGATTTTAAGCTTTTGACATATTTAGACCTGCGAGTCATAATGTGACTATATCATGATATTCAAGAACTACCTCAGTTTTTGTAAATGCCTGAAATCCAACAGGAAAAAAATCCGGATTAGCATAGAAGCTAAAGCTAGCCCTGCTCGCGAAACGGTTGTAAACATCTGTTGACTGTAATACATATTTGACACTTTCCGCTACTGTTGTGAAACATATATGTATTGCAGTGATCCTAATGTTTTACATGTCTCCTAATTTGTTTCCTTTCACCCACACCGTTGAATAAATGGCTTGTGTTAACTGGTTAAATGTAGTCATAGCTCACACGTTAGTTAAAAAAAATCTTTTTACAGTGGTTGGATAAAAGAAGACTTCACATAAAGCTGAAATTAATCTTTGTGGCTTTCTTTATCCTAATGTACGCCGTGTTACGCTCTTGTTTTTACGTGTTTATGGATAATGCTAACTATCTCATGAGCTCGTACATAGATATGATTGCGAATGCAACTCAAAACGATGTTTCAATCTTTTCTCATTGGGCTTTCAATATTTGTTATTATTTGCAACAATCACGATAAGAAAAAGTCAACCATGTTAGCATACGTAAATTAAAATAACTATGGTACGATACTATAAAACGAACATACAAAAAATTAAATCATAAAATGAAAACTAGATTTTGGTAGTTACTAGGACTAGCCAAAATATGTGTCCATCTACAACTTTTTTATTTCATCTGCCAAACATGTTTATCATTTATGCTAATCTGGTTTTAGTCCTGGCTGGTGCTATGAGACTTGGGTGGCATCTCTGATTGCCACCCCCCTGACCCAGAAATGGATTAAAGGGTAGAAAATGGATGGATGGATGGATGGTTTTAGTCCTAACAACATCACATTTTCCCAGTTCTGCACTGGTTTCCTGTGGCACAGAGAATAGGCTTTAAAGCAGCTCTGCTTCTGTACAAGTCACTTCATGGCCTTGTGACATGTTAGTGCCTTATGGACCAACTCGGACTCTGAGGAGCACAGAAGTCAGGACAAGCGAGTGCCCGGAGTTGGGACAAGACATGGGGAGGCAGCATTTCAGATTTATGTGTGATTTGAATGTTTCATTTCTTGTTTTGAGTTGCCGTGTGTATAAACTTGCCTTGCCTATAACCACTCTTCTCTTAATCAGTACCAATGACAAATGCTCTTTTCTCATATGGCCAAAGTGAATTCTTGTGCTGTTTGTATGTAAGCTATAAATGCTCTTTCCAGACTCACAGCCTGCAGGACATGAGGCAGCAGGCTGCCATCGCCTCCAAAGTGTTCATCCAGAGAGACTACACTACCGGGACAATGTGCCAGTTCCAGACCAAGCTGCCGTCTGATCTCGAGGCACGGGTGAGTGCTCTGTGTTTGTGGGAATTACATACACCTTGATCAGTTACATGTCACAATTTTATTTGAGTGAAAAATATTTGTAGTGGTTTATATAATGTGGTAATAGAAAAGAATTAATAAAGGTAAAGCACCTATAGAATACCTTAGGTATGATAATTACTATAATTACTACAAACAATCTCAATTGTTCAATTAATTCAAATAAATCTAAATTACAGCATTAGTGCTTCATATAGTTTTCAATTTGCCAATAACAAATCAGATAATCAAACGGTTCGAACACAGGAAATACAATAAATACAATCACATAGGAGCAATCGGTTAATAGAAAGAGCGATCCCTGTGAATAAATGATAATGAATTATCATAAATGTCTCAGATCATCACTGCCCTTAGACAATTCTGCATCGTCATAGAACAACTCAAAAAAAAAAACTAATATATATATATATATATATATATATATATAATTTCCTCCTCTTTAGCATGCATTTCACAGCGTCACCAGTTTCTTTACCTTCCAGCAGTTAAAATGCATTTGTGGTGAAGGAAAAGCTTTTTTGTGGCTCGTAACTGACTCTACGCCACATGAAAGTCTGTCTGGAGTCTGCAGCAGTAAAAATACACTCTACTACTTCAGCACATGTGATCACTTCCCCTTCGCTTCATCTGTTCACACACTGAATCTGCCATTCAAACACACAGCTTTGGGTGAATCAAAACATCTTCTAAGGCCTTATCTATTAATGGCTATTCTTGGACATTGTCCCCTAGATTATTTTTAATTTTTCTGATGTGCAATACAGGTGACGCTCTGAGAATTATAATATTGATCCTTCTCACTTCTGTAATTCATAATGTGAAACTAATGTTTGCCTCAAGCCTTTGTTATAATCTTGACCATAATAAATCACGTGTTAAAACATCGCGGATAATGAAAAAGGACTAAGCCATTATCAAAATGATAACAAACAAAGGCCTAGCATATGTAGCTTTGTATGTAATAAGTCAATATAATTTCTTTTTTCACATTTTAAGTTGTATTAAAGTGATTGTCAGAAAAAAAGAGAGAGGTATATGATTGGAAAAAAAACCGACTCAAGCTCCCTCCCCCTTTCTTTTTTGCCGGTCTTGAAGCTGCGCCTACTTTTCCGTGCACTCGCCAGAGGAGAGATTATTAATTTAAATATTCTGATATTTAATCATGATTTATTATACAGCTCCTCACAGCAGCAATAGAATGCTCCATTGATTTTAATGGAATTTCCAGTCGTTCTACCGATCATTATTTCTTGACAACAGACCTCTCAAACCCTCCTTGGACCCTTGGACCCTCCTTCACGTGTGTCTCATTCAACACAGCAGCGGCACCGCTTAGCTAGCAGCAGAGAAATATGCTCGGAGGAAACAAACTTGTCTAAAAACTGCAGCGCAGGTGGTGTAGCGTTAAAGTCCGTGGTATTTCATACAGCAGTGGACATGGCTCCTTTTTGTCGTCATTGAACAACATGGCTTTATACCAGGGATTTCAAACTCCGCAGCTAAAAACAAAACTTAAGGTTACTTAACGGAACTCTTTTTTTTTTTTATATAACAGAGTGAGGTGTTCTATAGATTATTGAGGTGAGGCATTACTTTGAAAAAAAGTTACTCACTATTAATGTAATCAGGTTTTTTATTTATTCCTCTATGCACATTGAGTTTTATTTTTGAATGAAGAAAAGGCACTATGTATAAATTCTTCAAAAACCGGAAATTAAAACAAATTTGACAGAAGCCCTTTGTTCCTACTTGAACTTTGGAAATTGGCATTTTGTTTTTGGCAGTAGTTTTATGAGGGTTATTTATCCTGTAAAAATATTGCTATATATCGTATATCGACATATAGATAATATATATCGAGATATCTCTTTTTCTCCATATTGCCCTGCGAGCCGCGTTCAGACCGGATCATGCATTGCGGCGACTTTCAAAGCAAAGTGAATGGTCACGCGCGTTCGAGTGTGGAACTGCATGTGAGTCTCGGGACGCACGCACGGACTGCGCAGTAGAGACCCACAGACTGTGTGGCAATGGCGCGGCAGAGGCGCAGGAGCGGAAAATGACGCACATAGGAGATAAATATTGGTGAAAGTTTCCTCGGGACGCTCGTGCAGCGACCAATCGGAGAGCCGCAAAGCGGTCACAGGGACATTAGTGGTCTGAGCAAGCAGACTGAAAATACTCAAACAGCCAAAACAGGAGCTACACCAGGACCAAAACCAGGGTTGACAACGGGGGACACAGTGCTTGTGAACATATCCGTTCTTATGCTCCCGTGACTGTATACAACTGCTTTGAGCGTGTTCGCCGATGCGGAAGTACCGTTTAATAATAGAATAAACTTATGGCTCACCTGCGTGAACACGTACTGCTGTTATATAAATCACACCATAGTAGAAGTCAGAGATGCACACAAGTCTCTGGACCCGCAAGTCCAAGTCAAGTCCAAGTCTCATTTCCTACGCATTAAAATTATGGCCAATGCAATTTAAAATGGACTAAAATATATGAATTAATTGTATTGTTTTTTAGAGCGCATTTTTCCAGCCTTAAACATTTCCGGCTGCAGGGGATACCAGGGCTGGACTGGGACCAAAAAACGATCCCGGGATTTTTGCCTCCTTTGCCAACCAAAGGGCACGCACCAGCCTGTGAAATGGATGGATCTGGAGCGTCAAAAAGCAACGAGTCCGAGTCCAGTCCGAGTCTTTAGTGGACGAGTCCGACTCGCGTCGCAAGTCTCTAAAAATAGTGACTTAAAGAGCGACTAAACACCAAATCAACTTTTTTAAACTCATAAACTGCATAAGTATGTTTATTGTAGTGCTGTCTACATATCCTGGTCATTTTTTTGACATTTTAGTTCAAATTAGATAAAATATCACTTTTGAGCCAAAAAACGCTGTGTGGCGCCCTCTCAACCTTTTTGGTGGTACTACATTTGAATTTGGTTCTGGCCTCTCCATTGACTCTGAAGTTCTCTATGACATCAGTTGTTTTGCGTGACGTCAGTCTGTCAGAGCCAGTGATGTGAACCCATTCAACTCTCACACACGCCCCAGCTGCAGTTTGGAGTATTCTGGCGCCATCTAGTGGATCAAAATTAAATTACATGAGTCATTCTGAGATTATTGAGTGTGATTAGGTTCAGGTGTGTAGCTTTACAATTATCTTAGTGTGTAAACAAGGGTGGAATGAGACTTTCTGGTCTGTAAACTATTGCTTTAAGCAGCAATGACAACTGTCTGTTTTTTTTTTTTGTGTGACAAGTGAGCTGTCAATCACAGCCCAGACCACGCCCAACTCTAAGCCCCCCTTCTTGTCCCTTGGTCCTGCAGGCAACGCCCTTTTTAGAGAAAATTTTCAAATCTTCATGTGGGCGGAGTAAGGCTGGGCACAGGTGTTTAGTCGCTCTTTAAAGACCTTATGACGGGTTTTAAAAAAAAAAATAGTGGATATCAAAATTGCATGACAATGTCAAATTGAAAGAGATTCCGGCAAAAAAAATCCTATATTTTATAAAGAACGTGTTTTTCATGAATTTAAGTTGTCTATACTCTAACCTGTGTGTGACGTCATAGCGGGTTACGCCCATGCATTGAAAACCATGGATCTATGCCACAGGTAGGGCTGGGCGATAAATCGATTTTAATCGTTAACTCGAATTAGACGTTTAGAGGGATTTATTTTAATGAAAATCGATTTTTTTTTTTTTTTTTTTTACTTCCACGAACGACGCCACCCCTTGGGCTTCCGTAGTTCAGAGTGTGGTCCCTCCGCCGCTTTCCAGCTACATAAACAACATGTCCGTCAACCGGGAAGAGCTAGTTCCAAAGAAAGGCACAGTTACGTCCGTTGTTTGGAATTGGTTCGCTTTTTCAGTGTCAGACGCGAAACAAATAACGCCACATTGCAAAGTGTGTTTAAAAGCTATTGCTACCTCAGGTAGCAGCACTACAAACTTGTTTCAGCATCTTAAACAGAAACATGCAGCCGAGTGGGAGGCGTGTGCCTCTCAACGACGCGAACAAGACCGCACTTCTGACAAACCCGAAAAAAAACAAACTACAGTCTTGGAAAGTTTGGCGAACTGTATCCCCTATGACAAGAAAGGACCCCGGTGGAAAGCAATCACAGATGCAGTGACGAAATATATTGCAGGAGGTATGGTACCCATATACACTGTGGAAAAGCCGTGGTTTATCAGCATGCTAAAAGTTGTCGACCCCAGATACGTGCTACCAAGCCGCAAATATTTTGCCGAAGTTGCCTTGCCTCGCATGTACAACAGTACTCGTCAAAAGATTACTAGAGAGCTGGAGGGGGTGTCGTTTTACTCCGCCACAACAGATCTGTGGTCCAGTCGAACAATGCAGCCCTATATGAGTTTGACGGTGCATTTTATTGACAACTGGACTTTGCGAAGCATCTGCCTTCAAACAGCCTACTTTCCCGAGGACCATAAAGGTGAAGCAATTGCGCACGGGCTAAAAGATGCACTGAGCTCCTGGAACCTTGATGAAAAACGACTCGCCTGTATGACAACAGACAGCGGCACCAACATGATAAAAGCTCTGAGAATCAACGAGTGGCCCAACCTCCAATGCTTTGGACATAAGCTGCACAATGCTATAGGTAAGAGTCTAATGGCTATGCATTCAAGTGATTTTTTTTTTTTTTACACACACATGTTGAACAGCTCAATTAATGCATTTTTAAATTAACTTGATGCATGAATTATTCAACATTTTACTCAAAGACATGTACAGTTATGATTTTGTATAATTTCAGTATTATCAGATTATTTTATTTATTTTATGAAAATATGGATTAAAAGACATTTCTCATAGCTGCATATTATACAATTATTTAATAATTTTCTTTTCCTGTTTTTCCAGTCTTGATGTATAAAAATATTGTATATTATATTTATCTATTATAAATTTCATTTATAATAT